ATTTAATGCCTTAAAAAAGAATTATGATATTTCAGATTGGGGAATTCTTATTTATTTTTGTGTGTGCCTTTTATTTATTAATAAAAGTTTATTCAGATTATAAAAGAAATACATTTCATGTTTACTAAAAATAAAAAAATAACAAAAAATTATAAAAAGTTCTATCAATCTTTTCTTTAAAAAAGACATTTTACAATGTTAAACGAACATGGAAGTAAATTTTCTTTAGTCCTTTGTTTCGACGTACATAACTATTTATAAAAACTATTTTCTATGTTATATTTTATGATACTTTCGAAAAAAAATTTAACTAGGATCACACCAAGTCCTTAAACTACAGATAAAAGCGATGCCATAAATAAGACGTATATCTAGACGTCAACTCCAGACATTGCAGTTTAAGGTCATTTCAATTACACCTCATTCTTATATTTAAGAAATAAATCTTTCTCCGTCACTGTAAAAGAATAAAATTGAAAAGAAAATATATGATTTACAATTTATCCTTGCTAAGGAATACAATATGGTAAATAGCAGATACTTCTGTAAACAGCAAACTTTGCGTTTATTTATTTTATAATAAACAGTTTTTACAGCGATTTCGAAAATAGCATATAAATATGTAGATATGAAAATGGATTGTTTTTTTATCGCTTGGGTTGCGTTTGGTGGAATTATTTTTTTATGCTGGATATATTCTTAAAATAATTATTTGAGAGGTTTTATTAAAATTGTTTTTTTAAAGAAATTTTATTTTTCAAAAATTATTATTGAAATTACACTTATTTAAATTGTTTGCACATAATTATTTATTAAATTCTTTAAAAAAAATATCAAGTATCAGCAAGAACTATGTAAAAATTCGCTTAAATAGTATTTTTTAATTGTGTGACTATATTATATTAATTAATTTTTAATTGTATTATTTAGACCAGGGATGACCAACCCAAATGATCTTGCGGGTCACTTCGGAAATGCAACTTAACACCAAGGGCCGCATATAAAATTATATATACCCATATTTATTTTATATGCGACTACTATAGACATTTTTTTGGAGTGAAAAATTGAAACTTATGTGTTGTTATTATTGTGTTCACTATTATTTCTTACATGTAAACATAGGTAATATAATAATGATGATACTAAACACACATTGTAAAGAAATATTTAACACTAAAAATGAAATATAAAAAATATATAAATATAAACGAAATAAAAAAAATGAAAGGGAATCAAAATGAAATATAGAATGTTCACTTTAAGTGAAACATAGAACCTGTTATATTAGATTTCCAAGATGCGCGCGCATCATGAGTTCGCAGAATATAATTTAATTATTCTGTGAACTCATAACTGTAAACTCGTAAATAAAACAGGCAATATCTGTCATATATTCGCAAGAATATTATTTTAAAATCAAAGTTAATTTTTTCTCATATTTTCGACAATTAATTTTTGAATATATGGATGCACACATAATATATATTTTTTAATATATGGATTTTCACTACTTTGGTCATTATAAAATTAGTAAATATGTTTTGTAAAAGTGCAGTAAATCTCATGGGCTTGAAAAATATTCAATAATTCAAATATTCAAGATGATACTGGTGATCCGCCGGGTTGGCCATCCTTGATTTAGACAGTGATCAAAAATTTTATATCTCACAAATTATAATAAGTTGCATGTTTTACGTATATTAGAATATATGTGAAATATTATATATCATTAATATAAAATCTACAATACAAAATATTAAATATTTGTTTTTTATTTTAGGTAAGCTGGAATTCCGTTGATTATAATTTTACATTTTAGATGAATATCTAAAGAAAATTGAAATGTTGGAGAAGAAAAGTGAAATTTTTGTAGGTAAGTCGCAATCATCTTAGAATAGGATAATATAGCATAAGATAGTTAAAATGCTTTTTAAAAATATTTCTTAATGAAATTTTTTTTTATCGGAAATAAAATAAATATTTGATTTTATTAATGAATTGCAACTAAATTTAATCGAATGATAAACGAATATTTTTTTTGGTATATTTATTGATAAAAATGTTGTGCATTATGGAATAATGTATACCTTAAAAATCTAATATCATCTATAATTGTATATCATATTTGTTTTCTTCCTCTGTTACCTAAGTCAATAAATACAGAGCTATAAAGCACTTGACATTGGTAGGGCTGTATTTTTCTACTTTAAATAATTAATTCCACTAAATAAGGAATACCCTTAACAGTCATAAAATCATCCTAGAATATTGATTCTCAAACTTATTTATCTTACCGCCCTCTTTCAGAAAAAAAAAAATAATACTCAGAGCACACCTGGAAATCTATTTTCTTTAAACGAACAAACAGAAAAATGTACCAAAATACTTAAGTTATAGGTTTAAATTATTGCAATTTGTGTATAATATGTAAATAAATTGTATTATATACACAGGATATCATTTGGAAGTTACAACTATTTATAGAATCGCATTTCCAACAATTTTTCCAACACGCACATATTCTTGTTGATATAAGCTGGACTCAGTGACAATGCACAACACTCTCACCTGGTAGTATTTGTTAAGATTTATTGGATATAACTTGCATTTACTTGCGAAATAATGTTGTGCTATGTTGTCCAACGAGTAAAACATCCAGACGAGTCCAACGAGTAACCCCCCCCTTCCCCGCCAAATGCAGCCGAGGATCATTCGCCCTTCTTGATAACTTCATTGCTCCCCAAGGACCAGTATTGCACACTTTGAGAACCAATGAGCAGCATAATTGGAAAATCAAAGTCAATGTTCAAAAATTAGTCGCGAGTTTTTTTACACGCAAAAGATGTAATATACAATACAACTTTCCATTATGTCAAATACAACCATCCATGATGTCCAAGACAACCATCCATGATGTCCTATACAACCATCCACGATACCCAATGCAAAAATAGTCGTTCTTTTTACACGTAAAAGAAGCGAAATCAAATACAACCTTCCATTATATCAAATATAACCATCCATGATGTACAATGCAACCATTCATGATGTCCAATACAACCATCCATGATGACCAATACAACCATCCATGATGGCCAATACAACCATCCATGATGTCCAATACAACCATCCATGATGTTCAATACAACCATCCATGATGTCCAATACAACCATCCATGATGTCCAATGCAATAATAGTCGCGGTTCTTTTGGCACGTAAAAGAAGTGTTATCAAATACAACCTTCCATTATGTCACATCCATGATGTCCAATGCAAAAATAGTCGCGATTCTTTTTACACGTAAAAGAAACGACATCAAATACAACCTTCCATTATGTCAAATACAGCCATCCATGATCTCCAATACAACCATCATCTCAATCGCTTAAGTAGGTAGGTGTTATTCTTGATAAAAACTCATACTTATAAAATTCATAACTCATGTCTGGATAACAATATTCAATCTCTACTTTTTAATCTGCAAGAAATTTTTCTATGCTATTATCAAATGAAATACTTAACTGCACCTCCATGTTACGTCACATCTTATCATACTCATGTCCTGTATACACTTATGCAACGCAATCCTGTGTAAACCACCTTGAAATATTTCAGAATAAAAAAAAATGATCACCGTCTGGTATATTAGAGACGCTATCAAACTCCTAACCATTATTTTGATATTTGTACTTCCTCTGAATTTTTTAGTAAAGTTTATAGCATTCTTAATCATGAATATAAAAAAGTCCTCTTTTATGTTTCTAAATTAAATGAAAAAAAAATCATGAGCAATCGTATATGTAGAAAGATTATTTTTATTTTTTGATTCTTATTTTTAAAAAAATAGCTTTTTTTTTTTTCCCTTAACTTTTCCATGTTATTATAAATTTTTCTTTTTGCATTTTACTTTTTAATACTTATCTGACAGATGCATTGGATATCTTCCATGAAATGATGGAAGTGAAATGTCCTAAGAGGCTACGTACGTCAAACTTACGTGCAAAAAAATTTCTTAATTTTACAATGCGAAAAGAATTTTTTATTCAATAGTTCATTTTACACTAAAGGAATTTATTTTTATTATATTCTAAAAAAAGTTTATTTCGTAGGGATTAAAAGTATCAAATTATATATAGATTTTTTTATTACTTTCCTTACAAAAACAAGCAATTTTATTTTTAATCCTGCTAAAAAATATTTCTAAAAAGTAACAACTATGTATAAATTATGCCTTAATATTTTTTGAATTTTTATTATATATATTTTATTCGCGTAGATTTAGTTTTAATTAGAATAATGTTTTTGTTGCGTGGAATGTTTCCTTTTGTTATGTTTAATGTTTAAAAATTCCATAACGTTTTTTTATGAAATTCTTTAGAAAATAAGTTAAATTAAATAATGTTTTTACGAAATCTTGAATAACAACAAGAAAATTATGCATTTAAGTTTCACTATTTTAATATTAAAAAATATTATTTTTAATAATCTTTTTAAGAAAATTATAAATTACACAATTTTTTATTCATAGAAATATTTTTTGTAATGGAAATCTGAAATATAAACATTGCCTGTTTTTTCTTTAGTCACAAAAATTTCATTACAAGCTCTCACTGGAAAGTAATCTAGAATCAATTTTATTTGTTTATGTAATCAATTTTATTTGCTTATGAAATCAATTTTATTTGTATTTGTAATCAATTTTGTTGTTGTTTCTTATCCCACTTGGCTGGCTGTTGCCCACGCTGCCCATACGTGCTCATGATTGAAGGGGAATGAAGCAGCTTCTGCTGTGATGGAGCACCCGTAGGTAGAAGCCTGACTTTTGCTCCGTGACGCTCTTACAGTCATAGGAGACCGGGACCTACGGCTTAAAGTGGATCTCCGAACCACTACAGAAAGCATCCATGGCACCGCCGGGCGTTCGAACCCGAAACCTGTGGCACCGAGCGCCAGAGCGCTGAGACACTCGGCCATTCAGGTTCCCAAATGTTTTGCCAACGGCACGCAGTGTTCCCAGGTGGTCACCCGACCCAGAGTACTGACCGCGCCCAATGATGCTTAACTTCGGTGATCTAACGAGAACCGGTA